TTGGCTGGAGGCCTCCCTCAGCCCCTCGCCATGCAGGCCTGTCTAGTGTCATAACACAGAGCTTGCTTCATCTGAGCAAGAGGCATAGAGTGGAAGAGAGAGTGCCAACAAGAGGGAGAGTGCTAGAAAGATGGACGTGTCCATCTTTCATGGCCTGATCCTGGAAGGGACATCCTATTACTTTCGCTTGTAATCTACTTATTAGAGACAAGTCACTAGGTCCATTCCACATGCCAGGGGAGGGGATTACACAAGGGCATGAATCACTGGAGCCTGGTTGGAAGTTGTTGCCCCCACAATCCCAATTGAGTAATTTCTATGAATTATGTCTCTTACTCAGGCTCCTGCTTCATCCACATGGCTGGACAAACCTCCACCCTTGGGGCTTTCTGATTTTGCCTCCGTAGATCTCCAGTTCCCTCCCTCTAAGGCTTTTTTTCATTTCTTAAATAGCCATTTAGCTATCCCTCTGTCTCACTTTAATAGTAGAGGCTAGTATCCATTAAGTACTTAAAATGTGCTAGGAACTCTCCTAAATACTTTATATATTTTAACTCATTTAATTCTGATGAACAAGAGCTATGTGCTCATATCCGTTGCATTTTACAGATTAGGAAGCTGGATGATAGAGAGGAGAGAAACTTGTCTACAAACACATAAAAAACAAACAACCCATTTCTCACAGTCATTCTCCGAGAACCTGTGAACGTGTTTTGCTATATGCAGACTTTTTCTCTCTAAAAGAAATTCCGTCACCAGCTTCTAAATAATTTGTACTGTAAAATAATGCATATTTTTATCATCATTAAGTGTAGGGCAAGGTAAAGGGTTCCTTTTGCTTAGCTCCTTTTTCCCCCCCAAATTACCAGTCTTTGGACTCTGACCATAGGCCTCTAAATATCAGAAAAGGATGCTAGTCTATGCTGGAGATGACATGTGTGAACTTTGAAAAAGGGCTGACATTTATCCAAATCTCCTTAAGATTTTAAAGCATCAGTATAAAAATTCATAAATGATTGGCTTAGTTTTAACGTCTGGCTAGAAATTAGGGCAGCGATTTTCATCCGTTTCCATCTCATGGCATATATAAGCTACTAAAATTCTGCAGCACACCAAAAAATATATTTTTTGCTGATGTGACAAAAAATCAAAAGGTATAATTTTGATTCATTCACACCAGATGACTATAATTGTGTTGTCTGTTGTCATATTTTGACAGTCTAAAGGAGAAGAGGTCAGTGCCCCTGACTAAATAGTCAGGTAGTGCAAGTTTTAGAAATTCTTGCTGCACACCGGTTGAAAATCCCTGGTGTGAGCATGGAGGGTTTCTGATGGCACTGTGAATGTCATGTGTCCTGAATCCTCTGGGCCTTGGGGATTGGCCTGATGTCCTCTGCCCACCTTTCGCTTTCCAGGTCCTCTCCCAGTTGGTGAAAGGCTGGTATGGTCAGTGAGAAGGCACCTGGGAGCTCCTCGTGTGGCCTGGCCTGCGCCTTGTGACTGGACCCTCCTCCGTTGCCCTTTGGGACCAGAATGTAGAAGGCCTGCCCAGAAAGCGGCCCCAGCTGACCTCTTACACACTGTGAATAGGCTCTTTCACCCCCAGCCGTGTCTGCTAGGCATTGACACACTCTAATCCCTCAGAGAGAGAACAGTTTTTCCTTAACTCTGAGTTTTTCTCAACTTTATCCTCTGTCCTTACATATATTATTCATTTACTTATTTGAACACCAAATATTTATCATCTGTTACATGGCAGGTTCTTTTCTTTTAAAAAGCCTCCTATTTTTGTATGATAAAATTAAGGTTTGTTATTGTGAGCATGTATGCTGGTATCTGGAAGTTTTGCAGAACTCTGGATACTTTCTAAAGAGACCAACTTTTCTGTAGAAATTAGATTACCACTTAACCAGATCAGTCTGTTTTCAGAGCCCCTATAGTTGTAATTCCCAAAGATGGTGGCCTTTCTTTTGTGGATTCAACTTCAAAATTTTATTTTACTAACATCAGATCAGAAAATCAATTCCCAGGCCTGGAAAACTCTCAGCAGTAGATATCAATAAGAATTATACATCTATAAATTATATGACTATGTTATACGCGTAGCCAATAGTAATGTAATTTGCTAGCTCCATCTTGGGCACTAAATGGAAGCAAGGGAAAATGGATATTGATAATTTTCATGACTTTAGAATTTCAAATAGATAAGAACAAGTTTCCCTATTTTCTTCCTTGCATTTTTTTCTTATAATTTTAAATTTTAAATTGCTTTGATATTACAAGTGTTAACAACACTCTCAAATAAAAGAATTGCTATTTCAAACTATTAAAAAAAATCAACTGTCTCGATAACCTGAGGTATTACACTTTTATACAACAATTAGGTATATATAACTTAATAACTCTAAAAAGCACTTTAAAGAGAAGTAACAGCATATAATGTAGAAATTGGAGAAAGAATTAAGTTCCTGACCCTTGGATCACTAGTTCCCATTGTCACTAGCTTCCACTGGATGAAACAATACTTTAATAGCTAGTACACTTGTTACGTCTCGCTTCATTTATTTTTTAAAAATCACATGGTGTTGAGGACTAAGTTAGAATGTTTGTGATAGTACTTGTTCAATTGTCAATCATATTTAAGGTGCTGTTGATATATACTTTTGATTTGGGGACATTTGGAAATCTGCCTTGGATCCATTCCTTGTGAAGCAATGCTTCAGCCTTACAAATTTCAGCAAAGGTCCTGTAATTCCAGGGTCTTGGGGGTGGGGTGGGGGAGGCTGGAAAACATAGAGACCCCCTGGAAGATGAGCCCCTCTCAAAGGATCCCCCAGGCACTGGCTCATTCATGTGACTTTCTGGAGTATCCAGCCTTAACTCTCTACCTTACTCTTTACTTTTTTTTCTTTCCTTAAGAGATTGCAACCATTCAGAGAAAAAGAGAGAATTTAGAAAGGGAAAGAACAATATCCATTCACTCACAAGAGCTCTGAATTTAGGGAGAAATAAAGGAGACTAGAAAGGTCTTGCTTTTTGTAAGTTCATGGACTTGTAAAAATCTTCTGAATGAGTGTGTTGTTGTTGTTGCTTCGTGAGGGTGTCTATAAACCTCATAGAATCCCAGTGTTCCACTAGAGTTTAAGAAATGTTGTTCTAAACAAACAGACAAATCACCTTAAGAGAAGCAGCAGGTAGTCTTGACCAAGAATCAATTGCCCACACCCTGTAACCCCAGACGTTCTAGAAGGTAGTCTCTAAAACAAGTATTAATATTACTGAAATCCTAGGTTGTTATAGTTATAACCTTAGGAAAGTAAAAACCAAGTATAAAAATAACAGTCTTTAATTAAGTGAATGGTGGTAATATTTGAAAGTAGGGTGAAGTGTAAGTATCATAAGAGGTTCTGTAATAATGGTTTATATGTTATTTTGACTACTATTTAAGGTGTCCCAAATGTTCAAAAATAGCAGTCATACTAGATTGGAAAGTATATTTTGAGTTGGTTAAGAAAATGCAATTTAGTGTTTAATTCGTCTTTAAGTATTGAATAACAATCAGTTTTAATGTTTTATTGGATATATAGATTTAAAATTTGAACATTAATTTTAAAAAAGAAAAAAGAAAGAAAATAATTGCTGCTTTAGAACCACATTTATTCAAAATTCATTGCTATAAAATTTTTAGCTCCCCCTGTGAGAGAGTTACAAACTCTATTAATGTTTGATTCCTGTACTTGTATAAATTCAAATGAGAATGGCCTCCCAATCATACTCCTGTGCTAAAGAAAACACTGGTTATAATCATCACTAGATATTTGAAGTGACTGGTGTGTCCCTTCCTTATATTAAATTTCCGAACTTTAAATTTTTTCCAAGACTTTCTTATTATATATAAATGACAATTAATTTTGAGTGAAACAACCATACTTTAATTTCATATTTTAATCCCACTCTGGTGGTTGGCTGGTTGATGCACCTGTTCTACTTAATTGATATCTTGCATTTGACAAAATAAAATGAGAGTTTCAATTCTGTGCTCTAGAACCTATCTGTCTGGTTCCACATGACTTGCTCCCTCTCAGGAACGTGTGACTTGGCCATATTACTTGGGCCCTTTGTGCATCAGTTGTCCTCTTGTTAAAAACGGAGGGATTTTTGGGAGGAGAAAATGGGATAGGGTATGTGAAGAGCTGAATCCAGTCCCTGGCACACAGTAATCACTTAATGAAGAGTTGCTATTATTGTTATCATTCAAAGAAAAAGAACTTATTTACCACTGGTTTACACATAAGAGCATGAAAAATTTCACATGAGACACACAGAGTTCCAAGGAAATGAGCAAGCTTCAATTTCACAAGCCAATACAGCACTTTTGAGTGCATGTAATGAAAACTCTGTTCTATTGGGTAAGCATGGGAGGTCACCTGGTCCCAGCGTGGTACTGAGCAGACACAGAGCCCAATATATTTTCTTAATTTTTGAGGTCATTTTCTAAATTAAACTCACATCACTATATCATCTAAATGAACTCTGCCATTTCTCTTCCTTCTTGACTACGACTGTGTGAAGAACAAAAAGTGCTAGCAGATGTTGGGTTTCTGAGAAGAAATGGCGACTCATCATTATTTTTCATAAGTTTGCTCCTATATTTATTCTTGCATCAAACATTTTCAGTCCATGTTGCGGGTGTGGCCTATGACGTGGCCGCCCTGGAGTCAGGGGAGGAAGGAGGGCTGCGAGAGCCACGGCGTTTACAAAGACACCCGGAGATCTGATAGAGACACTCCTACTGAGATCCCTAGCATGACCCTAGAAATGGCCAAAGACTCAGGCCTTCCCATGGAAATGTGTGGCGCCACAACAGAATAAAGCACTCGATCCAGCAAATGTACTGTTTTCCGCCAGCTCACCAGTGTGCAGACAGCCCATGGAACGTGGGCCGTGTAGACACAAGTGTGAAGTTCTGAACCTTATTTCCTTGTTGTCTTTCTTTGCAGACCTATGATGGTTTAAGCTCCACAGCCACCCGCCTTGCCCGGGCGTGTGGAAGACAGCAGCTGACAAACCCCGTCACCTCTTCAGGAAACAGCCTCTTTGTGAGATTTCAGTCTGGCCCTTCTAGACAGGGCAGGGGCTTCCGAGCTCGTTTCAGGCAAGGTAGGCACCGGGGGTCCCTCTGAGGCACAGGCCATCTGTCCTTAAGTTGCCTCTCTTGGTGCTCCAATAAAATGAGACCAATCCTTAGAAACTGGTCCCAGCTTTCTACTTAATATACAACTTAAATAGAACCAAGGAACTACGATTTGTAATTATTCCAATTGTTGATCCTTTCAACTTACCGTTGTCTAACTTGGTGCTAACTTCCTTTGGATCTCTGGAGCTCTTGCACAAGATTTTAGAATAATACTTAAAAGTAGCTTTAATTCTAGAGATACGATTTTTAAAAAGTGTCTATCCAAATTCATTTATCCATAAATAAATTACCCAGCATTTACCCAAGGTTTTACTTCAGAAGGAGATGTACTATTATAAATTATAAGACTCGCTTGCAATGTTGAGTCAGATTCTCTAACCCTTGAATCCTCCCATTGTCCACCTGCCAAAGCTGTTTTCCATTGCTTTCATTCTGAAATCATCACTTTCCAGTTCTTCTCACTAGACCTTTTCACCCATCACTTTTTATCTGGTAATTCTTAGAGATTAACCCTTTATCCCACTGCCAGAGATGGAGCCCAGAACAAGAAGTGTTGTGAGCTGGCATCTGTAAGCCTGTGATTTTTATTCAGAAGATCCTTGTCATTTCAAATAAGTTTGGTCTGCTTAGTCATTCGCCTGTTTCAGTGCCTTTGCTTGCATTCTATAGTAAAGAGCCCTGGCGAGGGAGAGTTTCTGGATCTAGGTCTCCCAAAGACACACTGTACACTTTGGAGCAAGACAGACTGCATAAATCAACCACTCTCTGCGCTTCTAAAGAAAGAGCAGTTTCTTAACATATTTTTTTCATTTACTTAATCACTTATGCTTTTTTTCAGAGTATAATAAAAAGTCCCAAATAGGTCTTCCCTTGGACTATTATAACAGCTTCCTCAATCACACCCACCCTTTGTCCATCTTCTTCAAAGTCAACTCGCAAAAGCCTCATTCTGATCATGCCCTTGAAAGCGACAGTATCTGTCAGGGTGTCAAACTGCCTAGGGAAGGGAGCCCCAGCTCCTCCGGACATTACCCGAGGGCCCAGGAAGCTGCTCTGATCTTTTACTCAGTGTCACCTCCAACACACCCCAGTGCCCCACGCTTCAGCCAAGTCTGTGTTTTTGCTCAGGCTTCCCTCCCCCAGAACTACTCTTCCTCACCCCCAATTCCTCCTTTAGCCACTGTCTCCTCCATGACACTCCTCTTACACTCTGGCTGGCGACACACCACATGCTCCCTCTCCTGCCCTCCCATAGAGTGTTGCCCTTCTCTGATAATCCACAGCCATTCTTGTGAAGCCTTATTCAATTGCATCTTGACTTGCCTAGAAAAAGGTGCCCATAAAGAGATTATTTCTATGCCTATAACTTATAAGTAAAGTGCATGGGTGCTAGAGTTTTGCTTGAGCGATTCGGTCCATTCGTAGCCGTTTCATCTGCTGTTCTATGCCCCTCCCTGCTTCCTGTAATTGAGAAATATTGTTATAAATGTACAACGAAAAATCGTTTTCTCCTGCTTTATGTGCAGCCTCCTTGGCAGATTACTTCCTTGGCCTGACTTTCGGAAATAAGGAAAAATCAGTTATGTTTTCATTCATCAAATAACTGTTGTGTGTAGTCAGTGGACATCCAAAGTACATGACGTGTGTGTGTTTATGTGTCCTCAGTCTGCGGAGGCCACCTCCTCACCAACTCATTTGGTACCATATCCTCTCCATTGTTCCCTGCCAAGTACCCGGAAAATCAGAACTGCAGCTGGATAATTCAAGCTCAGCCTCCATGTAAGTAACAAAAACAAAGAAAAGGAACCCAGGGTGGACGGTGTCTGTGGGAAAGTCTGCCTGTGACTAATGCTCTTATCCCCTCTGTGGAACAATGATGGCCTTCCTCTTTTCCTCTTTATTTTTTTTATTTTTGGAACCCAATTCCTACTGTGTACAAGAACAAACATTTCCTAATTTGATAGGGAAGTTATTTTACTTTTTATTCTTCATTCAAAATTTGTTTTAAGTGTCAAGGCCTAGCAAAGAAAAAACCACCACCCTATAACCTTGCTGTATTGACAGGCATGGGAGATCGGGGGCAAGCAAAATTAATCGATAAATAAATAGTTTTTGACACGTGTGCCTTGAGTGTGGCAGATGCACAAAAACACATGCTAAATGGGTGAATAAATAAGAACCATAGACTGGAAAATTAATAAACTCATAGTTTAGGAATGCAGTGCCATGAGCATATTGATACTTAATCAAAGTGGAGGTTAATTATAAAACCTGTTCTGTCCTGCAGTGCTTGTGTGAAAAAAAAAAATCTCAGTACGAGTCTGAAAGAAACACTTAATGAATGCTTATGTGATTTTGTTTTAGGAACCCTAGAATCTTATTTTCTGACCTGGTAATAATCTGGTGATAAAACCACATTTTATAGACAAAGAAAATGAGGAGACCCTTCAGGACTCAAGCAAAGTGACTGCAAAGAGGGGGACCCTGGGGCCATTATGAATCTTGTTTCAGATGAGCCCTGCCCTTCCTTGGGGTTCTCAGGAAAAATTTATGATTTCAGACATAATGTGAGAAAGGCATTAAGCTCTTGACTCCACTCTACAATTAATGACCTGTGTGATAAGAAGGAAGTCACTTACACTAATGAGGACCCATTAGCTAATATAAAAAATGACCAGTTTGTCTTAAACATTCTCTAACACATTTCCCAGGGATGTCAAGAGTTAATGAATGGATATCTTTACTGACATGCATAGGGGTTGGAGGTTGGTGATGCAATCCTTAGCCAATCGCAGCCTGGAGCATGGGGCCCCAAAGCAAGTTACTGGCCTGCCAGAAACTGAGCCTTAGGTAAAGAGGCCCCCTGCCTTGAGCCAGCAGTTCTGCACCTAAGGATAATTTATGAGCTGTAATATATTTAGATGAGATCTCACTGGTTCAAAGCCAGCAACAAGGAAAGATCCTATTCTGAAGAAGAGGGACCCCAGAGGAACGACGAAAGGAAAACAGACCCAGGCACTTGCTGTTCTGCAAGTAATTCAAAGCTTTCTTTTTAAATGACTGAACCACAGGGCCCTGGCCTTAAAATGAAACTGACAGTGCTAGGTAGGATATGTGTGCCAGGAGGAGAAGAGCACTCATAAAGAACCAGGGTTTAAGGAACAATTCTATTGAGAAAAATACTTAGGGGCACATAGCTATGGCTGATATAATATATCCCAACACGCTGCTCCCTATGGTGCATGGAGTAAGTCTACCCAGGAGTCCTCTTGTTTACTAGCACTTGAGACTCTACAGGCATTTTCAACAGCATGGATCCTGTTGCTCTTCAAAGGAAGCCTTTCTGCAGAGCAGTTGCCACTCTCCCTCTTCATCCCCTAAACCCCTGTGCAAATCTGCCCAATCCGTTGTTTCCCTGCTGGAGAGCCCACATGTGAAATCATCAGAGGTAAAATTTCTCTCCCTGTGTGTTTTGCTGCCAGTACCTTATTAAATAGTTTCTCTTTTTCTTACAGTCAATCATATTACCCTCTCCTTTACCCACTTTGGACTTGAAAGCAGCACAGCATGTACACAAGACTTTTTAGAAATTTTGGATGGCAATTATGATGACGCTCCCCTCCGAGGTACTGTGGCCAGCACACTCTCGTTCCCATATGTGGCATTGGCTGGGTTTTATTTATATGCTTGCATGTCTACGTGCTGTCATTCAAGGTTAGAATGTTTCTAATAAACATGAAGAGCAGCAGAAACCAAATAAAGGTGATTGGGTGTCCGAAACCAGGATTCACTGTGGGGTTTCAGAAACTCACCTTGCTCATATTGCAAGGATGTGAATAGCTTATGGGTTTTGTAAATTTAAAAGTTGCAAACACTTTAGATAGTAGTGAAATACAATCTACCCCAGCATTAAAGAGCATTCTGTGAGAAATGTCTTGTTAATATTTGACCACAGTTCTTATATTCAAATAGAGCATGTTTTTGCTGGTTTTGTACTCAGTGGAAGCAAAAAAAAAATAATAATTATAAATAAATAAATAAATAATCTGGAATTTGGTTTGTAAGACAGCCCAGTAAAACTAAACATTGCTGCTATTTAGTTTCTGAAATGCCCTCAAGCAAAATAAATCTCAGATTATTTAAAAGTTCTCCATGGGTTACTCATATTTGGGCATCTCATGCTGCACTAGAAGACAAATTCCCTCAGAGAAGGGACTTTGTTTGGCTCATTGCTTAATCCTCAGTGCCCAGAATAGCGCCTGAGACAATATCTGGCAATCGATGAATACTCTCTGCTCTGCACCCACTTCTGATTGTACCGCTTTTTATCGCTACACATTTGACCAAGAACGAGGGTACATCATTTAACAAACACATCTAGAACTCACTTTGTGCTGAGTACTATTCTAAGAACTTAATAAATAGAAACTCAATTAATCTTCATACCCTTATGACATAGGTTTTATTATTTATCCATATTTCCTTTTCTCAAGTGGGGAAACTGAGGCACAGAGAACTTAAACAACTTGCCCAGGTCACGTAGCTAGTAAATGGCAGAGCTAGGAGTTCAATCCAGGCATTCTGGTTCTAGCATCCACAATTTTCTGGGCTATAATATTTTGCTTTTAAGCATTGGAACGTTTATTTGTGCAAGTTCCTACTGTACTAGAGATTTTAGCCTTAGTTACATTTGGAGCCAGGCCATCTCCATTGTTCTTATCTTCCCCTAATGTCCTTTATCATGTTTATAAATCATCTCTCCTATGCTTGTATTTGCAGTTTATTTTAATTCTCAGGCATTGTCTCAAACACAGACCTGATTTAAATGGTTCTTCTAATAGTGATTTCCTCTGTTTGCTTTGCTTTCTGGTGATTCTAGTAAATCCATGTTTATTAGAAATGATGGCCTATGCCATGTTATCGTTCATTCTCCTTGTCATTATTTTCATTATTTAGGCCGATATTGTGGCACCTCCATGCCCCATCCCATCACTTCCTTCAGCAATGCCCTCACACTGAGGTTCGTCTCTGATTCTAGTGTGAGTTCCAATGGCTTCCATGCTACATATGCCGCATCCTCTTCAGGTAAGACACATCAACGAAGTGGTGCTACTAGGTTAACAGGAATGTGGTCAAATTCCTAGGTTTGAGACTCTTTCACCTTTAGAGTTGGAAGCCAGTTTCCCGAGATCACCTCTGTGCCTAACCTTACATTCTTCCAAATTAGGTTAACATGCTTGTAAATTCTAGCAGTAGTGACCTCTGTACCACAACTTTACCTATTCATCCACCCATAGACACTTGGGGTGTTTCTATACCTTGGCTATCATCACTAATGCTGTAATCGTGAACTCGGGAAGTGAGGCAAACTAGCTGGAATGATCTTGGATGGCTTGCCTGTCAATGGGTTGGTGTTTTCCTCCGTGACAAGTTGGTTAAGGCAGCCTCTAATTGACAGTGTCTGATGGCATCTCCTATGAATGGACACCCATTATTCTCTCGTCTCCCTGGCCTCAGTTGGGCTCAGGCAGGGTTGGGGTGTTGTCACTGATGGCTTGATGGATGCTGGCACATGGGAATGAGAGGAAAGAGGAGCCACTGGTATTGGGTCTCTTAGTCAGTGTTGTTTGTCAGCTGCCAGCTTCCTTGTTATCAGCATTTAAAAGCCCTAGAACACCAAGGAGGATTGTGTGTGTCAGTCTTCTCCTGAGAGGGGAAAGCTGGAATATTGCCCCCTGGTGTAGGCCAGGGTTGAAAACCATCCTGGTCAGAAATACTGAGTGGTTGTAGGATTAAAACAAGTCTTTTATTACATAAAGTTATAGTACACAGGAGAAAAGGCCTTTAGAAAAGAAACTGTAGATTTCTTCTGATCCACCATGCCTCGTGGCTTATAGCTTTCAGAATCTTTTCCTTATTTTATATGATGTGGATTTGTTGTTGCTGTTGACAATCCTCACCCGAGGATATTTTCTCCACTGATTTTTAGAGAGAGTGGAAGGAAGGGGAGAGAGAGAGAAACATCGATATGAGAGAGACACATCAATTGGTTGCCCCCTGCGTGCGCCCCCAACTGGAGCCAAGGATCAAACCTGCAACCCGGGTACATGCCCTTAACCGGGAATCGAACCCGAGACCCTTAGGTGCGCAGGCTGATTGCTCTAACCACTAAACCACACTGGCCAGGGCAGGATTTCTTTTTTTTAATGTGAAAGGGATGCTGGTATCAGCTCCTGTATGCTCTTTCTCCTTTATCTTGTGGTGTCTAGTGTTTGATCTTTGCTCCGGCACTCATTTTTCTCTTTTCTTCCAGCTTGTGGTGGAGACTTCCACATGGCTGAAGGCATCTTCGACAGCCCTGGCTACCCGGAAGTTTATCCTTCTAATGTGGAATGTGTTTGGAACATTGTCAGCTCCCCTGGCAACCAGCTCCAGCTGTCTTTCATGTAAATTCTTTTTTATGGTGTATTGTTTCAGTGGATGTGCAGGAAGGAAGCGCTGTGACTAAGAGGATGGACAGCTAAGGGCGCATGTGTCCAAGCCACTGTTAGAGAACACAGTGGGAACTTTGGGAAATCTTTTTCCAAATTTCCTCTGTTTTAGTCAGAGTTTGGGTTATAAATAGTATTAAATTTTCTTGAGAATACGTCTAGAGACACATTACCAGAAACACGTGCCTGAGCATTAATTTGTGGGGTGTTCATTTTCACAGAAGAGTAATTTTATCTTTTTTTAAATGAGAAACATTTAGATTCTTCCAGTGAATCACTAACAGTCTTTCTTCTAGCAGAAATCCTACTTCAATAAGCCTTCTTACCCATATACTTTGTGTCCCTCCCACCCTGCCCTAATCTACGTTTCCTTCTGCTCCTACAAAGAATTATTTGGTAAGTTTTTTGGAGCTAGTGGTTTATTTGTAAAATTACTCTCACATTCCTCAGTGAACTGTAAGGCTTTACTAACATGGACTATGGATATGGAATTCACCATAGGATCCCACCATGATCTGAGTGGTCTAAATTAAATTCAACAACAATGATGCATTTTCTAGAGGTAGATAGTGAAAAGCACGTGCTAAGTGAAATGGGACTTTCATCAATAGAGAGGAGCCTGTGACATGATACACTGGTAATGAATGCTTAACAGATATTAAGTGATAAAACTGGTATTTAAATTCACATTTTAAATTACAAGTTATTTATTAAACTATATTACATATTGAGAAGCTTTGGTTGGGATTGCTCATTCAGTTTTGAAGGAAATATAAGTCAGTGTTGAGGAAAGAGGATTGGTTTGCTTGGCCTGTCTATTGAAAAAAGTCGTGCTGCTTTTCCTGGACATGCCATTCTGTGCTTCACGAATGGACTTAAAAAATGAGAGAACAGTCTTATTTGTGGATGGTGTTCAAACATCTCAAGTTGCTTTCTTTCAGCTCATCAATCAGACCGGCCTCTTCAGGGACAAGTGGTATTGTGTTAAAACAAAGACACCCTCTGAGTGCCTGGGAGCCAATGAAAGTTTAAGTTGCCACATGGGAAAGAGAGGTTTGCTTTTGTCTTTACTAAAAGCACCAAATTCTGTATGGGAGGATATATATATATATATATAATTTTTACCTGATATAGATGTATTTCTTTATTCACTGTTGATTAAGCCCCTATTATGTGCTAGGCACATATTGGGCAGATGTTACTCCCATGCTAGATGCTTAATATATAATAATGAATAAAACATGACCATTATCCTTATGATGAAGTCCAGAGTGCTTTACATGGCTTATTAGGCCTCATAATTGACAACTAAAAAGGCATCATTTTTATCTTTTTCCTCTCCATCTCTTTCACATTCACGTTGTTGACCAATCTGGTATTTTGCAGTTGCCAGGAACTAGGCCAGGCGCTGGGAATGTTTAAAACCAATAAGATTCCGTTTCTTGGTGAGCTACTAATAAATTAATGACAAGAAGCTATTTATTTAAAACCTAAAGAGATTCATTTCATCTATATCAGATAATCATATGCATATAGGGCCACTCTTGACATTAAAGTTCTCAAATTTGAAATGTATAGCACAGGCTGATGGCATACCAGATGTTTGATGAATGTTCGGTTCTCTCACTTTGCCATTTCTAAAGTATCTTGTGTGGTAGTTCACAGTTAAATTCAATTGAACAACACTGGACTTTCCTAGAAGATAGGAGATAGATACAAAAGGCAAGTTTCACCCATTTTACTGTTCAAGGGACACTAAAATCCTAATCTTTGTATAGACAAATTTAAATGGCTCAGCTTTTTCCTTTCTCATGCACAAGAAGTTGATTTTTATTACTTTGTGTTACTTGGTTGAGTTTTATTTTTAAAATAAATGTTGTAGAATGCAGGCTGTTCCTTTTGTGTAGATGACAATGAGAAAGGCTTTATGGCAAGGCCTGCGAGTTATTTCTGCCCTGGTCTAAACTACATCCAGATGGGTGCTTGGAAACGCTCCTCTGGGGTGTGCGAGGAGCATATGAGAAGCATATGGAACATGTCAAGTTCTAAAACGTGGGGTTTGGATCGTGGACACTGTGGTGAAATTGAGTAGGGAGAAAAACTGAAGAAATTATGGTTGAATCTGCAACAAAAATGATGGTGGAGAAATAAAAACCAAAAAGGAGCTTTTTGTAAAGGAATTAACAAAAAATATATTTTATGTCTGCAGAGTGCTTTCAGAAAGTGATTGATCTTGGTTCAAGAATCAAAATGAGATAATGAAGAACAGTGATTGTGCTATTTTTGTTCCACATCATAGTTTTACTAACAGACCTTAGCCAAAGTGTTTGGAAAGAAGGGAGATTTGCTTCTAAAATGTACTGACCTAAGCTTAATTTGATTCTTGTAAGTATAATCTTACCATCACTTCTAATAAAAATGCCTAGCACTAAAACAGAAAAGACCTGCACTTAGTAATCTTCTGGACCTCTGGACCAAACTTTACTGCGCATACTGATCACCTGAGATCTTGCAAAAATCCACAGTCTGATTCACTTAGCTGGTGGACCCTGATTCTTTTTTTTTTTTTTTTTAAATCCTCACTGGAGGATATTTTTTCCATTGCTTTTCAGAGGGAGTGGAAGGGAGAGAGACAGAGAAACATCAATGTGAGAGAGACACATCGATTGGTTGCCTCCTGCATGCACGCCGACCAGGGCTGGGATCAAGCCTGCAACCGAGGTACATGCCCTTGGCTGGAATCGAACCTGGGACCCTTCAGTCTGTGGGCCAACGCTCTAACTGAGCCAAACCGGCCAGGGCATGGACCCTGATTATTTCACACAGGCTCTCGGGTGATGCTGAGCCTGCTGGACCATGCACCGCACTTTGAGTAGAAAGGTTTTTAGAAGCAGTTTCTTGTAAACCACCTGCTATAGAAAATAATCCCCTTTACCCTTCTTTTCTGAGAAGCAAAAGGAAACAATTTTAGCATATTTTACAGTATTGATACTATTACGGGCTATACAACCGAGCACCAAACTTGGCCACCATCCTAAAGATGGATTCAGAACAGTTCCTTGCCAAAAACGATGGTAGGTGTAAATCTGTATGGTAAAAAAAAATCAAATTGTCAAGGAAGACAATGCAGATCAAAATAGAAGAGTGGTTTGCCTAGCCGATGGGGGTATTTCTGATCGCTTCTTCTCCTCAGCTGTCAGTCAGTGCTGGCTGGTAGAACTATGTCCAAAACACAGATCCAGCAGATTTATACTGTAGAAACCCGCCTTGATGGGACCGTGAGGGCCACAGGCGCCCTGCTCCTCTGGCTGGAGGCCTGCTGATGCTAGTACAGTATCTGGCTGCAGAGGCTGGTGGAAGGGCAGAGCTGACCAGCCAGTGCGCCTAGTGCTCTGGCTGGCAGTGAATGCCCAGAGGTGTGCCGGGGACATTGATCCCAGAGGTGTGCCGGGGACACTGATCCCAGAGGTGTGCCGGGGACATTGACCCCAGAGTGGAGCTCGAGGGGGCCAGAGCCTCCAGGCCGGCTGTCTCTACCTTAATAGCGCCCTAATCGGTGCGCTGAGATAAGCGCCAGGGGAGCGCTGTGTTTAACGATCATGTCAAGTCCTGCAACGTGTAATGTTGGGTATAGACTGAAAGATATACACAGTAGAGAAATACTTTTTCTATTCTTTTTTTTCTTTTCCAATAGTTTCTTTTCTATAGTCTTACCAGGTCGTTCTGTCTTATCTTTACTTTGTGCTTCTTCTTCTCAGCAAAATCTCCCTCCAATTACTCCTGAAAAAAGAATAGTTCTCACTTACTTAACTTTATCTTTAACCATTAAATTACATTTTTCTTTTAAAATTAATTTTAAATAAATAAAATGTAATAGGGCAGCAGAAGTCCTCCACCTACATCGCTTTACTTTCCCATCACATAGGGAATCTGTATTTTGAATATAGTATGTGTCACTTCCCTGCGTGTTTTTATACTTTTGCTATATACCCAGACATATGTATATATATGTATATACATATATATGTATAGTGTACATATATTCTGTACACACTGCATAGTATAGCTTTCTGTTTTATATTTTGCATGAATAAATCATATTTATTTTATTGGAATTATATTGAATTTATAGATTAATTATAGAATATTGGCTCTTCATATTCTTAAACTTGAAATATGTCTACATTTATTTCACTAAAATGTCATACTTTTTCCATAAAAGTCTTATTGATATTTTGTTATATTTATTCCTAGACAGCTTATTTTTTGGTTGTAATTGAAAATGACATCCATTTAAGAACTACAGCTGAAATCAATCTACTTTACCTAAAACAACCCTCCTTAATTACGTGGTTATTTTCACCTAGAACTTATCACTGCCTCACTATATGTCCATTTGTTTGTTTATTACCTGTCTTTCTTTTTAGAATATAAACTCCCCTAAGGGAGGAACATCGTCTATTTTCTTCACTGTTCTATTCCTAATTCCCATGACCGTGTCTGGCAATATAGTAGGCAAATATTTGTTGAGTGAATGTTGACTAAGTTAGTTTCTAAATTTTTGCTTGCTGGTATAAGGAAGCCCCGTTCATTTTTGTATATTATGTTACAGTGTCTTTATTATATGTCTTTATGATGACAAAACGTTTTGTCTGTCTTGTGTACTGCGGTATCTTCAGTGCCTAGAAGAGGGTCTGACACATTAGGTGCTCAGTAAATGTTTAGGAATCAATGAACTTTCTTTGTTAAAATTTATCTTTATTGTTGGAAGTATTACATATATCCTCCTTTTTCCCCCTTCCCCCCTTCCCTCTGAGATTCCTCAGTCTGTTCCATGCTTCTATGTCTCTGGATCCACTTTGCTCATCAGTTTATTCTGTTCATTAGATTCCACACATGAGTGAGATCATGCCATATTTGTCTTCCTCTGACTGGCTTATTTCACTTAGCATAAT